CCAACTAGGTCATCAGAGCTAAACTCGTTCCCAGTTTTCGGAGACACCGATAACGTCTAATTTAGGGACTTCGAGCCCCCAAAAAGCCGATTTAAATTTCTTTTCTTGAAATTTCTTTTGTCATTCCTTAATAAGGACATAATAAGCTACAAAATTATGCAAAAACAATTTTTACATGTAGGAGGCGGCGTGGCCGAGTGGTTAGGGTGCTGGACTTGTAAGTCCGGTGTCCTCCACCCTGCCACTCACTGGATTTGTTCTTGGTTGCCCCTAGTTCAACTCCTCGGCTGCGCTCTGTAAATAGCCCACTGGTCTGCCTCCTGCCAGTAGGGATTTTTAAGCTCTTAGTTAGTCTACATTGTGGCTGAAAAGCCCCTAAGGGGGAGCTTCAATTAACGTATATTATTAATATTATTATTATTATTGTTATTATTATTATTATTATTACTTCATAGGCACTTTAACGGTGGCCAATTTACAATTTCAACTGAGGTGATAAAGCCAAATTACCTTGTTACCCCCACTGACGCAGCACCATAGTTTCTTTAGAAACTTGCTCCCTTTAATAATTTAAAGGAATGGGCTCGAAAGCCTCGTGGTTCCTCTATCTCCTTGGCTCCTCCAGTGAGAGTACATTTGCTTCCTTTAATTTCTCCTGTTAATTAGAAATAATTTTTTCTTTTTTATTGCCATTTCATTTTTGAGACTTTTGTATTGGGATATTCTGTCATTCTCCGTCTTAAGATGTTCCACCATTCCACCAACCCACAGTTCCTTAGTTACATCATTCCATTGAATAACTCAAGGTACTGTATGTACCGTTGCATTTATGTCCTCTTATTGTAGATATGTCCTCTGATGTGACGTGATACAGTGGCCAATCATATCCTGTGATCTATCGAGCGACACGCGGCTTGGAACTGGTTAAGAGACTCCGTTGTAGCTATGTCTTCAAGCCAAAATACTCATTCAAGAGGGTCGGGATAAGTTGAAAATTTGACCGGTATTTTCCGGTGACAACGTTTGAACAATCTCCAACTGATCTCAGAAAAACATGCTGTTCGCAATCATTGCGAACCGGATCATTGGCCTCTCACATTACTTTCCTTGAAGTTCTATCGTTCCTTCGTCAACGCCGTGTGATCGCATGGTTCTTCTAACTTAAACTTGGTAGAGCAAGTTAATTGCTACGTAAAAAAGGCAGGGGTCGCACTGTGGCTTTAATTTTTTTATGTCGCGTCATAAGATGTCCCACAAATATGTCGCGACATTTACACCACGGGAGTCATGGAGGTCGCATTTGTGCGACATAAATGATATTTGAAACCAGACTGTCAACTCTTAATATTTCACGCGAGAAAAGAAAGAGCGCTAAATATAATTTTGTAGACACGAGGCTGGTGCTAGTTTTATTAGCGACATTTCTTCAATCTCTGTTTAATTTGTTCAATTTACAAAACCCTATTGGTTTGTACGCATTGTACAACACTCGCCAATTGGCAAATGTTGGCTCTTGCCGTTTTAAACCGACGACGTGGACGGATGCAAAAAAATGGGAAAAGATCTGCGAGCCAAATGGTGAAAACAAGCCATCTCCATACTGAGAATAATCAGGTGAATAGTGCAAATTTGTAAATTGGTATGGGTTGAAATTCGCCCTAAGGATCAGATAATAATAATAATAATAATAATAATAATAATAATAATAAGGAATATTTATACTGGATAGTCCTTCAGTGCAGGAGCACTGTTATTAATGGGGTCCTTTCTAAATAACATAATATAAGGATAAAAACTAGAATAAGATAAGAATGACTACGCACCTAACTAAATGCCTTATGCAAAAAATTGATCTAAAGACTCCCTAAATGGTACCCTACTGCTAATTTGCTTGATTTTTAAAGGTAAAAAATTAAAAGCTGAGGCTCCTAAAAAATAAAAACTTTTCCGAGCAAAGTCAAGTCTC